AGCACACGTTACCCCCAGACTCTGCGGTGGGGCTCGAAAGGGGGTCTGCCAGGGCTTAGGCACCCCTGGAGAGACACATGGAGTCCGGAAGGTGGACGGGTGTAGTGAGGTGGGAGGCTCAACACAGGAGCCCCCCCCCTACTGGCCCGCCACATCCCCGTCCCCTCACCCCAGCCTGTCTGTCACTCCCTGATGCCTCCATTTTCATTTTCACTGACTGGCTTTCTTGCCTGCATTGCGTGCCAGGCCAGCCTCTGGCTTCTTCACTATTCCTTCCAACCAGGACCAGGAGACACACCAACTGCAGGTACTTCCTCAGCCTGACAAAGGGTTTTTCAACCTGAAAGCTTCCTAAGAGATATTTCTCTAACTATTCATTTTTTTTCATAATAAACATACAGACATAAAAACACAAGATAAGCTATCACACACACCACATGTAACATATATCCAACACAACATCTTTACTTCTTGCTGCCAATTCCTTTATAACAAGAAAGGCTCTGTGACAGTTCTGTCTGGCTACCTTAGATGCCGCTGGTGCTATTGCTGTTGAGCCAGCTACATTATTTTCACCTGCCATTGTTTCCAGTGGTGGCCTGGGATGAGGCTGTAGAGGAGGCAGCCTCACTGGGGCACACCGTCATGTGCAGAGGCCCTAGTGCCAGGAAGGGTGCACCTGAACACAGACACAGTGTTGCAAGCACCCATGTCATAAGTTTTACCTGTTGACAACCAGAGGGGCAGGGCCCCAGAACCCCAAGCCGTGCTGAACCTATCTTGTTGAAAGCTGGCAGGCTTTGTGGCTGCAGCAGGGCCTGGCAGCCAGGCCTACAGTGGTCCCCCCCTGGCCCCCGGCCAAGCCAGACACAGTGTCACAAACACCCATGTCATGAGTTTTGCCAGACAGAGGTGCAGGGCCCCAGAACCCCGAGCCCCGCAGCACCTATGTCATTGAGAGCTGGCAGGCTTCGTGGCCACAGCAGGGACTAGCAAGCCTGCCCTAGCAAGTTTTGACCCCACTGTGGCTTCACACATACAAGTGACAGAAGTTTGGCTCTCAAGAATTTGGCGTGCAATTTCTCTGAACCCCCTGCACCTATGTTGTTGAAACTTGTTGGGCTTCATTGTCTCAGCAGGGGCTAGCAAGCCTGCAGTTTTGACTCTGCTGTGGCTTCACACGTACAAGTGACATGAGTTTCTCTCTCAAGATGTGGGGTGCAGTTTCTCTGAACCCCCTGCACCTATCTTCTTGAAACTTGGCACACGTCCTGCCCTCAGAAGAAGCTACCATTTTTGCAAGTTTCATCTAATTATGACCAGAAATAACTAAGTTATAGCCGGTGTTGACCTTACCCATTATATCCTATGGGTGAAACATTGAAACAGGGTCGAAATGGCAAAACGTTTTGCCGGAACGAACTGGAACAGCCGTTTTGACTTGAAACAAAAGTTGAAACAGAACACTGTTCTGGTGAAATGCCGAAATGCTAGTCGAAACAAAATGCTTCTGTTTCGTACAGCCCTACTAAGCACCCTCCAGGCATCAGGCAATGGAGATGATGGTTCTTTCTTTGCCAGGCATTCGTAGGCACCTGAGATTTCAAATCAAAGAATCTATCTCAGGCAGCTCATACCTTGAGAGCTAAAATTTATTTGGGTACCTGTTATCAATGGAAGACCACAAAGAAAATCCTGATACCATAAATGCCCATTGAAAAAACAGAAAAAAGATACACACAGACACACACAAAAGGAAAACAGCAATGTGTATGTGCTACCAAGAAAATAAATGGTTATGAGCAAAACAAGACACTTCATGGAAAACACATCATTGTCTGGAAAAAAGAAATCCCAGTGGCACTCCTAACTCCTAGACAAAGGTCTTTATGTACCTTCCCAAAGAGTGGCACCCATCCCAGTGACTGACCAAATACCAGCTCAAGGAGATCATATTCTACTTGAGCTTCAGAATTTCCTTTTGGAAACTGGAATGGTTTTCCTACTAGTTTGGTAATACTAATTTGGTTTTCTTAAAATCTGTGGAATCATCTCCCTAGAAGACAGGTCATGATAATTACTGCTTAAGACATTTCATAACAGGATTGGATGATGCTTTGAGGATAATGGGGAACTACCAAGCACTGGAATCAATGAGGGGTTCTCTACACAGGTAAGAGTGCTCTGTTTGTCTTGTAACTCTTGATTTAAGCAGAGAGGTTGCCATAATGAAAACACAAAACTTGCCCCACCACCCCTTCCCCCAACCCTATGGCTTAGGTGAAGTTACATGCATGCCATTGGCCTGGTGGGATGAGAAAGAGTGCAGTTATCCCCAAACTAACACCTGCCTCTGAGAATCCACTTACCAAAAGACACATTTGCAGTAACTTTATCAGGATTTTTCAAAGTTGGGTGCTGCACTACACAGGTATAAATTGCTGGTCCTTCACCTTTATCCACCTTCAGGATGCTTTCAGTTGAGTATAAGCCATTTCCGTACACAGGGCCATTATTGTAATGGGATTTGGGTTCCTGGGCATCGTTCTTCTGCCATGAAATGCTGATCTCCTTGGGGGAGAAGCCACTAACTTCACAGATAAGTAGGATGGCAACTCTGTTTCCAGAGGCGTCTTCGCGATAGGCTTGGGAAATGGTGACTGATGGTGTTTTCCTCTGGACATCTAAATTAAAAAGGAGGGGAGAGAAGGTAAGGCCTTGGCTTTCCTGTCTAAGTTAAGAACATGGATATAGATGAAAAATATAACACTAGGCAGTGTCCAGGAAAAAATGCAGCAATAGTGGGACTGTAATGCGGTTAAGCTGAAAAAGAACCTAATATCTGAATCTTATCTGACCCAAAATTCAAAGGGACAGTGACCTCTCATTACTGCTGAAAGAAACCCCTGAACCCTTCACAACTCTGAATGAATTTTCTGACATTTGCTTTTGTAAAGGCAACAACCTCTGCCTGTTCGTCTCTCTCTTTTTCTGTATCATCTTCCTTATTATTTTTATTTGTATTTTCATTTTCCACTTCTACTTTTTCCATCTTCATGATGATTATGGCAACTATAGTGATTGTAGAGATGACAGAAATCTTGCTTCCATCATCTCTGTAATATCATAAAAAAATATAAAGCTGGAATGGATTTACAGAGGTCATCTAGTTCAATCATGTACCTTAGAGTGGGGTTGGAACTATCTAAGCCCATGATGCTCAACCCTCAGCCCATGAGGCCATGCCATCTGGCCTGTGGGTCTCTCTGTAGGTGCATAAATGTGGTGGGGGATCCATGGCAGTGTTAACTTCCACTTGCTTGCTGCCAAATTTCTGGATATGTGAGAAGCCATGTAGGCCAGATGACATGGATCTGTGCACTAGATTACACTGGTATGTGGTGGGGTCAGTATTTGGGGGTCATTGCAGTTGGATCTAATGTGCATGGTCAGGCCAGTGTGCAGCCAGATCTGATGTGCAAGATGCGCAGGCATGCATCACTAGAAATGGTTCATAGCACCAGGGCAGCAAGCTGAATCATGCCCACGGGCTGACCCCGTGCTGGATCAAGTCCACAGATAGACCCTGTGTGTAGGGTCTAGCCCTGGGACCACTCACTGAACCCATAGGGCTGGGAGATTAAGCACTGCTTTCTAACCCATCCCAGACAAATTTGCCTAACTAACTGCTCTAGCTAGTTGCTGCTATACTTAAACAGCTCTCACAGTGAGAAAATTCTTCCTAATACTAATAATAAATGCAGGTTTTTCTTGTCATTTTAGCAAATTTCTTATTGTTCTGGCACCTCTAGATAGAAGAATGACTGATCACTGTCCTCTTTATAATTACCCTGTTTATATTTGGGGATGATGATCAAAGTTCCCCATGAGGTTGATGGGCACTCATTAGCATTTGGCCAACAAATCTACTCAAGTTGAGCCTACTCAGCTGCTGAATGCTTGAATCCAAAACAACAGTACATGCCCTCTGAAATTTCCAGAGGCAGTTAAAGGATTTTCATTTTCTGACAATTTCTATAAAAGCTGGACACCTGAATATCTTGGAAATAGAGGACAAGGGGGCCACCAGAGACTTGATGTTTTATATACCCTAATCCTAGGCAATTGTTGGAGGAAAGCGATAGAAAGAGGGAGCAGGAATTTAATGCTAAAAACCAAGGGGACCAGAGGCAGATTGGGTTTGGAGGTGGGAGTGGGGGGTGCACTGGTCCAGTTGCATCTCCCTTTGATTCCTGTTCCAACCAAACTTCAAAACTAACTGTCTGGCGGTGGTAGGAGTATTTCTAGTCGAGCAGCAGGGAGAGATTCACTTGCACTGAACCATGAAGGCAATCTATCTCATTCCTTCTCAACTCTTCATATCAGGGGTGCTAAGACCATTAGAAAGGAGAAGGTCACTGACATTCCACTAATCAAGCTAGCTTTTCTTCTGCAATTTTTGTGTCTGTTAGCCAGTCCAGGTAATGTAGCTCCTATATCAGAGCCCTGCAGACTGTTTTTAACTTTAGCCAAGAACATTACCTTAGCGGCCGGAAACAACGTTAACTCAGGAGTGGAAATAACATTTAGTGAAGCACTGGATGCATTATCAAGATGGTCAAGGAGGCTAGATTTTGGTTTTTGAATCTGAAAGAGCCATCCATGTCATTCCAATGACAACAGGACTAGTGAAACCTATTTTGATTATTTTTTGCATATTTTTTGTTCTTTTTATACATAATATATAATATAGAAAATTAATGCACATTCCAATAAAATTATATTTGTTTTTCTTTCAATCTTAAACTGAATAATATAGCCCTGGACTAGTGAAGTTTCTAGTTTGTTTTTAACTGGAAAGAAATTTGTTGTATTATAAATCATGAGAGGCACCTCACTATCAATGTGCCTCTTTTCAAAACCCTATATCTACCCATGTAGAGGACAATGGGAAAATTGCACAGGTGAAAATAAAGTGGTGGCCAGTGAAACACTGACAAGATAGTTGTTAAATTATGGCCAAAGCCCTTTTGCATTATAAGAAACTAAGCACCAGCAGAACCCAGATTTGCAGGTGTGTGTAGGAGTTAAGTTACAGCCCAAGTAATGTGGGCTGGAGTTCACTTTCCCCATTTTCATGCCAGATCTACTTACTTTTCTCACTCATGGCTACTTGGTCTTTCATCTCTCCATAGCAGAGGACCTTTGCTTTGCAAGTAAATGTGGAGGTGCTGTTCCATTGCTTCAGAGTCACCTGATGGGAGCTGAGGCGGGTTTGGGTCCCATTGTTGTGGGTCTGGATACGTCCTGTATTCCCATTAGGGCTTTTTCTCCCATCCACTTCCCATGTGATGTCAGCACCACTTAAATCAGATGCCAGCACTAGGCATGTAACCAGGCCAGTGTTGGCAAGCACATCTTCATAGGATGGCTTTGTTATGTAGATGCTGGGGTAAGGAAAGTTTTTGAAACAGGCTGAAAAATGAAAAAGAGGTGCTGATGACAAAATGGCAAGTGTGGTAAAAACACATCCTTATATACAATCATAGAAAAGTATGCCTGGACAGGACCTCCAGAGGTCATCTAGTCCAACCCCCTGCAAGAGGCAGGATCATCCCTATCCAAGCCATCCTATACAAATCCATTGTCTAACCACATAGCCAACCTGGACACAACCACAAGGCATAACACCTTAACTTGCTACAGGTAAGAGAGGGGAACAATGGTGGTCAATGTCCTGCTGCTGCAAGTGTTAAAATATGCTCAAGAGATCCAAGGAAGAGGGCCATTTCCCCAGCTACAGAGGAAGGCTAAACCCCCTAAAGTCTGACGGTACTTCTCCAGCTTCATTTTACTGATCCTGTAGAGGTATCCAGATTGGTCATGTTAATTCACTGGAAACTGTCTAGAGAATTACCAAAAAACCCCCAACTACTTGACTTTAAGGACAGGTAAGAGTGCACCAAGATTTACAGCAGCCAACCTAAATCTTAAAAGCAGGGATTTGGTAACAGAAAGTCTCCTGTCTTCCTATGTCTGCACCAGGTTAAACAATGAAGAAAACTCTCTCCAATTCTCTACAATGTTCTTGTTCCACCCCCAGCAGATTACAGAATGCTGTACACACGTCCATTTGATCTGAGCTGCACCCAAAGGTGCCGCCTTTCTTGCACAGAATCATGGGAAAGTGAGGCCGGAAGGGTCCTCACAAGGTCATCTATAGGACCATCCCTAACTGAACCATTCCAGCCAAGAGCATGTCAAATCTACTTCAAAATGGAGGGATAGAGATTCCACAACTTTTCTAGGCAGCCTGTTCCAGTGCTTGACCATTCCCTGTTGTCAGAAGATTTCTCTTAATCTCAAACCTTAATTTTTTCTGCTGCAGCTTGAGGCCATTGCTTTTACTCCTATCCCCTACAGAGATGGAAAAAAACCTCATTTCCATTCTCTCCAAATCCTCAGTCTTCTCTTTTACAGACTAAATAACCCCAGTTTTTAGGTTTCTCTCAGAAGCCATGCTACCTAGGTCTCTAATAATTTTTGCTGTTCTTGGCTGTCCAATTTGTCCACATCCTTCTTGAAGCGCGGGGCCCAAAACTGGATGCAGTACTCCAGGTGAGGGCTAACCAGTACTGAATAGAGCAGAAGAATCATTTCTTTTGATTTACAAGAGACGTTCCTGCTAATAAAACCCAGTTTTCTGTTGGCTTTTTTTTTTTTTTTTGCAACAAGAGCAAGCATGCATCTCCCTCTCTCTAGCCATTTTATAAATGCATATCTATTGCATTTGTGTGTTATCTGTCACTGACATCAACAAACATCTTTCTCCCCACCTCCCTCCATCCATCCTGTATTTTCATATCCTCTATCACCCTGCTATCAATGCAGTCCCAATACTTTTGAGCAATGATGTTTTCTGATTAATTCCTGCCCTCACCTGAGCATTTGCTGGTGTTGTACATCATGTAGCCGCCTGCAATTTTAGGATGAGTCACTTTGCAAGTGTAAACATTTTCACTGTCCCAGGCTTGCTTGGTAAGCTTTATTCGGTTGTAGCCCACGTTTAACTCATTTGCATCGTCTACACGGGCAACACTCGAGCTGTACGTCTTGTCCTTCACTCCATTCACAAGCCATTCCACATTGACCTTGCCAGGGCTCAAGTTCAGGAAGAGACAAATCAGCTCCAGTGGCTTCTCTGTAGAACTATCCTCGCAAGATGGGGGCAGGATGTGAACCTGGGGTTCAGCGGTCTTTTCAGCACACACTGGAAACAGCAAGAGAAGGACATGTGAAAATGGAGTTCCAGGCTCACTTGGTGCAGATCTAGCTCCACTTTCCCAGAGATGCTTCTACACCCTACAGCATGTCCCCACCACATGGGACAAACCAACACCAGTCTCCCTCTAGAAAGATGGTTCAGATTAGACCCCTGGACCCCCACTTCCCGTGGCAGTATAACTGAGCAATGTATTTAGTCACAGAGACCTCTTTTACCTGTTTGTTTTGTTCCCATGAAATACAACCCACAAATTAGAGAATGAACCCCTTTTGAAATGAAATATTTTTCCTTTCCTTGCTATAAAAAATGTTGAAACGAAACATTTTTTTTGTTAAAACAAATTTCATTGACATTTTTGGCATTAAATATTTTTCCCTTCAAAAAGTCTAAAGAAACTCAAAAAGGGGAAAGTTTAGGCTGAAGAACAAACATTCACATTTGTTTTTGTTGTTTCTCCATCACCAGCCAAAACTTATGTTTTTTTTGACCTTTCAGGTAGCCAAAAATGCATTTTACATTATTTAATTCAGACACGTGGGGAGGGAATTTTTATTTTAGAGGATTAAACTGAACAAAACTGAACAAAAGGTCCTCAAAATGTTCTTGCCCCAAACTCCATGTGGAGAAGTGTGTCAAAGCAAGACCTTGAGGAAGTCTATGAAGATTCCCAGGGAAGGTGGGAAGACTACTTCAACCTCTGTCCTGAGTGGTTTGATTCTGCTTTTCAGCCTTGTGGGCAGGAACAAAGCTCCTCTTTGATCTGAACTGCAAGTTCAGGTTTCATTTTACTTTCCCTGGTTAGCAAAGAGTCATTTGGGGAGTGACAGGTTCTCAACAGGCCATGTTGGAAACTGTATAAAGGAAGGCCAATTGGCATATCTGCCCCACCCCCCTGTTAAGCAGGGCCTTTTTTTAGGGTTAAGGGGGCAGGGAAGTGAGCTGATATTGCCTTCATCTACAGAGAGTCCAGCATAAGGTCAACATACAATTAAAACCAAGTTTGAAAGCTTTCAGGCCACGCTCTTTTCAAAGAATTCAGATGCTAAGGAACCCAGTGCCATAATCATTCCAGCACCACAGAGAAAGTCTTCCCCTTGCATGGCCCATAAGCTCCAGGGGGGAATTTCACCCCATGGCTTTCCCTTTGTTCAGTGGGCTGACATGAAGGAGAGCTGGGGGATGCAGTTCTGTCTGCAAATGCTGTGACAGAGAATCTGAGGTCATAACTGGGCCCCAGTTTCCCCACAGGCTCAGGGAGAATAATCCAAAAGCACTCCAGAGGATTCTGGATTCCAACTAAGATGACCTCTGCTGTGCTACCCTCTCCCCATCCCCCATAAGTTAAGCACAGAACTTACAATCTGCAGGGAATGACTTGGAGATGTTTTTTCCTGAAGGTTTGTGCTCCACGTTGCACTGGTAGCTGCTGCGGCTCTGTAAGCTGCTGGAAGGGATGGTGAGCTGGCTGGTCTGGGTGTACCTTTCATTCTTGGTCTGCACAGCTGGGAAAACCTGAGTGGTCAGGTCAGAATTCCAGCTGATGGACACTGGCTCTGGGAAGTAGTCATTCACAAGGCAGGCTATGACTGTCTCTGTCTTAGCATTTTCAATTTTGGAACTGCAGCAGGAAACCATGGGGTAGACACTCGGGCCATTCTTAGATGCTGGAGGGGGGAGGAAAAAAGTTAGTGACAGGAACAACTGACAAGAAACAAGTATCTGAAAATCATGGCATTGATCATCTTCCATAACATCCTCCCCACCTGATTATATGGTTCCATGGATGCACTGAGGTTAGTTTACTGGACCAAGAACCAGGGGCTCCTGGGTCTTATTCTCAACCCCGTCACATGATTGCTGCTGTGTCATCATTGGTCTGTCCCATCCCTATCTTGGCACCTCAGTTTTTCCAAACTGTAATACTAGGATATTGATAGTGACTTTCCACTGCAGAGCAGCTTCCAAGGAATGGATGAAAACCACTCTCCACTTGGCTATTCAGCACAAAACTGGGGGAGCTCTAAGTGGAAAGGAAATGCTCTGGGTTTACTCAAGTGGAGGCGAGTAGAGGATCTAGTGTCTTTATGAGGACAAAGTGTTATGCCTGTAAGTCACAACACTAGCCAAGTCATCTTCACAGCTCCTCTAGAGAATTTAGCATCACATCACAGACATGGAGATGAACACACTGAAAAATGCGGTGGATTGGTTTGGATCACAGTCAGTGGTAAAGCCATGAAGAGAAGCCCAAAATCCTGATCCCCATTCCTTTTTGATCACACTGAAGTCATGGTTCAAAGAGGATATTTAAATGGAAGATGCACGCCATCTTCTCTGATCTCTGCCCTGGCATCTTTCCATGCAACTATCTCAGAACCCAGAGGGCCTCGAGAACATGCTCAAATTAAGGCAGGATGGAAACCAGTTATAAAGCCGTTACACATTTTCAAGCACCATCTTAGTAGCTGGTTGGCTTTTTTTATCGCATCATAAAAATGTCTATCCAGCAGTAATTACTTTGCACATGTTTCTAGTTCAAATTTATTGCATTATTAGCAGGTTTATTGAATGATATAGCTACTGTGGGACAGCAAAAAGAGACTAGAAAGCCCTTTTGGTTTCAGGGGAAATTGATACAATGAAAAACAGAGTTAGTGACAGAGGATAAAATACTCAATCCTATGTGCTCCTCCCCCTATGACATTGTCTTGCAAGAGTTAGACTCGCTTTTGTATCTTGCTTTTATTTCCTGGATATTTCCTTCTGGTGGGTTTTGCCTTAGAGAATTTAAAGCAAGATTCATGTGGGTTCCCCCTCACCACCTTCAGCTCCTCATGCAACCAAAGCTAGTGATTCAGTGGATCAAGAATTAACAGGAGACATTCTAATTCTATTGGTTCTTTCCATTCCTAATGGCTCTGAATCCAATAATAGTAAATACAATGAATTTCATTGGATATTATACTTACAGACACAATGCTTGTAACCACCAATGGCCTATAAACACTTCATAGGTTCAAAGATGTAGGGTTGGAAGGGACCTCTGCAGATCATCAAGTCTGACCCCCTGCCCTGGGCAGGAGAGAATACTGGGCTTATATGACACCTGCTAGGTAGTTATCAAGCCTCCTTTTAAAGACCCTTAAGGTAGGAGCCAGCACCACTTCCCTTGGAAGCTGGTTCCAGATCCTGGCCGCCCTGACTGTGAAGTAGTGCCTCCTGATGTCTAGCCTGAACCTACTTTCAATCAACTTGTGGCCGTTATTCCTTGTTACTCCGGGAATACATCTATCAACCTATGAAGTGTTTATAGGCCATTGGTGGTTACATGCATTGTGTCTGTAAGTATAATATCCAGTGAAATTCATTGTATTTCCAATTATTGGATTCAGAGCCATTAGGAATGGAAAGAACCAATAGAATTAGAATGTCTCCTGTTAATTCTTGATCCACTGAATCACTAGCTTTGGTTGCATGAGGAGCTGAAGGTGGTGGGGGGAACCCACATTAATCTTGCTTTAAATTCTCTAAGGCAAAAGATGCAAAAACCAAGAGATGAATGGTAAAAAGTTCATCTTAAAAAGGGACTAGAATGGAAACATAATAGCTTTGTCATCACCATATGTACTGATCTGTCTATACACACCCTTCCTTTACGTGTAGATGCCCCCTAAACATGTCCACCAGCAAAAACTCAGCACAACATCCACCACTTCCTCCTTCCCTCATGTTAGAAACTTTGGAGCCCATGAATATAAGAAAAAGTTGCAATGAGCTAGCCTAGGGCCCAGGTTTATAGTGAATTAGCTACTCCTCACCTTTGCAACTCATTCAGCTTATCCACATCTCATTGTTTTTACATAAATGTGCCTTCTGCATAACTGTCCACAGTATCTTTATTCCTCACCATCTTAGTGTTGCAGCCCACCTGAGAGTCAGGATCATTTTACCAATGGGGAAACAGAGTACAGAATCACGAAAGTGATCTGCCTGATGTCAATGTAGGAAGCAGGCAATAGAGAGCAAACTAGAATCTACATCTCCCAACTCCAATATTAATTTATCATCTGCTGGTTCATGCTTCCACAGGAGCATTTTCTTTAGATAAAATGTTGTCATTCCCTGCATATCTTTGCACCCCCAAAAGGTTAGGGCTGGCCTGAGTTTTTAGACAACAACAAAACAAAACACTATGAAATCTGGGTTAAATGGTTCTCATCTGTATCTAGGAGAAATGTTTCTCTCCTAGATAGTCTCCCATCTCCATATTACCCAATGTCAGCATTTGATGATTAAGATATAGGTGGCTGAATTGCATCTTACCTGGAACAATCCTGAGTAACTCACTCCTGGAGCAGGTGTCACTGTTCACAGCCATGCACTAGAACCCAAAAAGGTGACTTCACCTTCCAAGGATAGTCATTTAAGACTGAACAATCTCTGGAGAGATGGTCTTTCCTCCCTGGTGCACCCAACTAGTAACTATAGCAGTTTCTGTTGTTTGGGGATTCAGCAGAGCTGAAGCTGTATCATGTCTTCACTGGCCATTGGGAGAGCCTATCCATCGAAAAAAATCTCTACAATAGATTTCCCCTGCATGCATTTTGCTTTTGCTGTTTAAGAGGGAAAAAGGACTCTTTTAGAATCAAATTCCAGAGCTTTTATGGAGTTCTTAAAGCCTCATGAAGTTTAAATTTTGTGTCTGATATATATTAATCCAAAACACAACATACTAGAAGTCTCTTTGGGAAGACAGATTGATAGCATGAGATTCTGAAGCCCAGTTCTGTAGGCTTGAGAAAAATCAAACAAAGACTGTTCTCATGACCAGGAGAGATCCCTAGAAAAGCTAGAAGGGCTAAAACATCATGATACAAGAGATCAGTCTCAATAGTCTAAATTATCCTGGAGATAACCATCATATACAACCTGTGATGGTAGCCCAACATACTATAGTTGGTGTGAGTGTAACTCTACTGTTTTAAACCAGTGATGCAGAACATGGACAGGGAGTACTTAAACATAGAGTACCTACTAACATGCACTACAATGTTAATTTTGATATTCAGTGTTCCAGAAGTTTTCCAAGTATTTTTGTTTATCTATCTTTTAGTTGTTATTTCTAGGAGCTCCTGATGAGATTCGGGTTTTACTTCACTTGGTACTTACTTGGGATGTGGAAGAATGTACCTCTCAGAGACAGTTCACCACATTTAGCTGATACAAGAAATGGTTAGGAAGGAAAATGATCTGAACTACATAGGGTGAAAGCTCTTGGAGGACAGATGGCTCTTCAGGCTAACAAACAAGAGGCTTATCAAGATCCATTATAAGATGCTGAAGTCTGGAAGTGTGACTTAACAGGTAGAGGGAATTAATGACGGGAACAACTTCCAGAGAGAGGTCATTGATTCTCCATCATATACAAGTGTTCAATACATTCTGGTCATCTCTCTCCTAAAGGTAAATCTTCAGCAAAACCATGCGGCTTTAGTGTTGTGGGATATTTTTTCAAACACAAAATATTTTCCTACATTGCTGGAATTACTGAGTGAAATTCTTTGACCTGCATTACCCAGGGGGTCATACAGGTTGGATGCTTATATCCTTAACTTCTGAGTCTCCAATGCAAGGTAACTTGAAAAGTGCTTACAAGATTAAAGAATCCACAATAAACCTGTTGACATATCAGTATAATATATATCTTTATTTCAACATGAAAAATATATACAGGACAAGAAATACAAAAGTCTAATGAAAGTATGGGAGTGTGCATTTTGACTATGGGTGCCCACTCACATGCAACTTCTTGCTATAGTTTTGTATCAGTAAAGGCCGCATGTGATATAAAGCAGAGATTAATAACGCAGATGGAAGACACAGGATGGTGACTGTGCTGTAAAAGCAGGCTCACGATGCCTCAAAGAAGGAGCAAAATAAAAAGTAGCCAGAAAAATCCAGTTACATTCATGTAATGGATGTAGTCCTCTGGCTGTGGAACATCCTCAGACATTCTGCAGAGAAAAGTTAGGAACAGTCTGCATTGGTGGCTATCCTTGTATAGGAGCTGTATTGACCTGTTGGGTTCATTTGACCTGAAATGGAAACATTTTAAAATATACTTATTCCCAAGGAAACAAATTTATCAGATTTGCAAAACATCACACACTGCCAACCCCTTTTCATTCTCACACTGAAGAAATTCTTACTCATGTTGTGTCATCACATTGCTTACACTGACCATTCCTAATTTCTAGTCTATTCTCTTTTTACCACTCCTGAGACAGGAATGGAATATGGTCTTGAGAGATTTAGAGAAGATGACAATGAGATGGAGGTCATGAAATCCCTAGCTGTCTGAGGGGTTTGAGGCCATAATTTCTACACTCAACCCTTCACGTGGGTTTGGAAACCAGGACACAGTTACCAACCTTCCAGATTTCCAACATCTGAATTCATATGGATCAAGAGGGACTTGAGATTGCCTATTGAGATGTTAAATATTTTGAAAATATTAGTTCTCCTCTCTGGGACTCCAACTTGAGTGGAGAGAAAAGCTGCTATGGGACAGTGGCAAATCTAGAACAGAAGTCAGCTGTCCAGAGTCTAGTGAGACAGGGCCAGATTTTGACATCCCTTAAAACTTTAACCTCAAAGTCTCTCTCATTTTCTTCATGAACACTTAATTCATTTCTCCCCCTTTGCCTACACTCTTGCTCTCTTTACCTTGATCAAAGTAACTGTGGCACTGTAGAAAATACTCAGGATGAAGAGGATGATGAAAGTGGAGGCTGTTGCCCAGAGATTGTAGAAGTCCTCTTCGTCTGCATCCGGATATGCTTCTAGATAAGCTTTGGATAACAAATACATAGACACAGTCAGGACTAATTGGGGGTCTCTCACCTGGAGGCCCTGGAAGGATTTATCCATATTGGGACTTAAGCAAGCAAGAAGGGTATCTGTACAAGGTGGCATTTCCATATAGATCTGATGGGCTATAGTTGGGTATTTGCTAAATTCTTTAGGTTAAAGTTTTGTACGGCAACATAACAGTAGCAGGGGGTAGGTTCTGCAGTGCGGTGAACAGGGTGGTGAGGGTGCTGGTAGCTGGGGACTTCAAGTCAGAGAGACCTATGCATTTTAGGGGGAGATTTTCAAAAGCCTCCAGGGATATTTGAATGCCCAGTTCCCTTTCATTCATTCAACTCAGCCAGGGAGTCAGGGGTTACATTAGAAGCATGATATCTTCCCCATAAAATACATAAATCAACAGGAGGACACTGAGAAGACACTGAGTTAGTGGACAGACCAAAGGCAAAGTCAAAATGTCTAGAGGGGAAAAAACAAGTCATTCCCATTCCCTTACAGAACAAACAATCAGTGAAGTTTGGAGGAGCTCTTCTGGCTCCTTGGGGAAGGTGGGATGGAGATAGGCTGGTCATCACAGAGGACAGTCTGCTTGAAGAGAAAAATAGAGGACATAAGGGCATCAGGTTTCGTATCAATAGAAGACAGAGTAGCAGAAAACCAGAATGTCCTCTATGATGGCCACCCTAGATGGAGAGCCAGACTCTCAGTGCCTGTGAAGTCAAAAGCTACTCATTCAGCAGCTGAACCAAGGCTGAATTATGCCAGCCAGCCACTGACTTGGCTCTGGACTCCATTTTAGTTGTTTCTGATGCAGTGTGATAGGATCTGGAAGCCTGGACATGACACCTCTGAGGTGTGAGCCAGTTAAAGCACTCCACTGTGCCAACATCACCAACAACAGCAAAAAGCAAGATTTAACAGTTTCCTGGACTCTTTTGAAAATGCCACCCTATGTTGTTAGCACAATGTTTCTTAATTGCCCTGTAGTAAAAGTGGTGGAAGAACTTGGTTGCACTGCATTCATGTGTGAGAAAGACCAAAAGACAGACAGATAGACGTAAGCCTGGAGTTTCCAAGCCACCCTAAAGTTTTTGAATGCCATTCTCCTGCTAATTGAGAACAGAACTGAGCTGACAAGTCTTCACCAGCTTTGGAAATCTCTACATAATTTATTTATGAAGGGTGTGTCTGGTAGATAGACAATAGGGTTGAAGGTTGAAGAGGAAAGAGGGCAAGCTGCTAGAGCTGTACTCAAAGTACAATCTTTCCTGAAGGAAGGGATCAACAGTTCTGATTGTGGAAGGTATTTTGGCCTATATTGCTCCTGGTCTTTAGATATGATGATAGGGATTCTTCAGTTGCCATTGAAAACGGTTGACATGAAATAACTCATGTGAGGGGTCTCTGCATAGGTCACGCCTTATTTTGAAGATTTAAGAACTTCAACACTGCAAAGTCCCTGTTCTGGTCACCCCAGCACCAGCTTGCTCATTACTCAGCTCAGGTATCTCTCATAAAAAGAGATACACAGAAAGACTGAATGGAAGGATGGGTGATGGAAGAGAGGTGTAGGTGGGTGTCACAGCATAAAGGGTAAGCCATGAAGGTCTTTGACTCTTAGTCTTAGATCCACCACCAAAAGGAATGTCAAATGGATCTCACAAGATACAACAATGCAGGTCAAATGCTTCTCCTTTTTTCTTGGTTGACTGAACAATCTGACATTTCCTCTCTTTTCCTGCAAAGGAGCAAGACAGGGAAGAGGGGCTAATACCATGGATGACCATGGGTGGTCAAGAGCTCTTCATGTGAAAGCAGAGACTAGCACAGATGAAAGTTGTTCCTGGCACATGCCACCATGTCTCCTTCTAGCTCAGCTTGGGTATACCAGCTCCTACTTCTGTTGTGCATCTTGTGTTGAGCTCAGAGTCTGAAAAAGTTAGGTGCTTGTTGTAGGAGATCTAGATTTTCTGGTCTCCCCCCAACCCCGCCTCCCCAACTTGGCACTTTTCACCATTGGAACCAAACTGAAAATTGTGAAAATGTTCCACTGTCATATGACACCATTAGCTCATGAATCTCATTCTCATTCATTTCAAAATGAAGAGCCATTTGGGTTAGCTACTATACTTCCCATAAGTCGCCAGGGTCTCTCTTTTCTTAAGAAGAGGCAATGCCTGGCAACCTAGCATGGTTGCAGTGCATTTTGGGATATAGTCCAATGGCTAGGTCACAGAGGAAAATGGGTGCAGGAGTTCTACCAGTTACGTTTCTGCCTTAAAATACTTGGGGTTTGAACTTCTGACTAGAAAAAAATTGCTGTCAAATTAGCTCCTCGCAAAAATCCCATCAAAAGCCAACTATATGTCAACCAAGTTTGATATCAATTTTTCTCAGTATGCCCACTTTTGTATTTTCATTGATAGGAGTTTGGTCCTTAAAATAACCCCATTGAACACTCCACCTCCTGCCTGTACGTTTTCATCCTTCTTTGAGAACCTTTGTTGGCATGTGTGAATAACTTCTGCATCAGGATTTCCTTCTTTATATGCAGTTCTTTTTGTCGGTCTATTTATACTTTCCTCCCGAGTGTGTACTTACTAGTGCATTTCCCATTTTCCCTTTGAATGACCTTCCATTCTTCTGTCTACCTACTGACTGTTAATCTGCTAACTCAATACACACCCTTCAAACCACCTACTCATCTACATTCTTAAACTTCAATGTGAGTTGCTAAATCCCTGAGAAAAACCAGATTAAATGAAATATTTTGGTCACTACTAAGAATGAGATTAGAACAACTATCTAATTATTAAAAGACCTTATGAACTTATAGTCTCCTCCCTTGACCCAGCCAGTCCTTCCTGGGGGTCTGACTGGGGATGTGGCCCCTAAAAGAGAAAGGCCTCATATTCATTTTCCGATCCTTCCGGGACAACTCTTCCACACCCAGGATGTGATTAGATCTGATACAGTGGTACAGCAACTCAAGGCCTCATACACCTTTTTTAGCACTTGTAACCACTCATTAATTTATAGCTTGCGTTAAAATAGGACTATCCTAAAATGGCTTCTCCGAGTGCCATTCACATGAAGTGGACCATGAGAGATGAGGCTGTTAGGTAGACTGAGACGGGTATTATCACCTTGATGGTGAAAGTGTCAGTTTTGAGCATGTTTTCCCCCAGACCGATAATACTGGTTTTAGCATTTGTAAGGAAAAACATGGATGGACTCCAAGCTTGTAAGTGGGTGATGCTGTACCGTTGCATGCCCAGTTAGGAAATAAGTGGGACCTTTTGGAAACCTTTCATGGAAGTTACTGTTTCAGCAGTGGATAAAGATTATTGCAGAATATTTGCAGTGCTCCTTTGGGGCACCCAAAAATAGAAGCAATAGGCAAACGTTTGGTCTTATTTCCAAGGAAAGAGAGTATGATGCATTCATCATCATGATTGCGTGTGTGTATTTGTGCAGGTCAGCAAAATACCTCAGCAGGATGACTCACTCAACATGGAAAATGCCACAGTCCACTGAGTGAATCATGTGTGTTTGCCAGATGTTTTATTTCTTGGGAGATCTGAAGCCAAAAGGAGCCACTCATGTCCTAGGATGACCCTGTGGGCTTACAAGCAAGCCAAATGCCACCAGACATTATATGTGGGTATGTGAGATCTGGGTACTTCCTGTCAGTTAGTGCATTGATCATGAGAGAATAGGACAGAAGAGGCCATGCTTAAGTGCTGATTCTAGCTGTGCCACTCAGGCAGGGCAAACTGCCTACCAGTGGTCAAAAAGAGCCCCATAAACACACTCCCTCATCAGAGGGTCTACAGCGCAGATGAATTCTTTCAAGTCCCTGGCAGATCAGAATGGGGCCAGCATAAACTGATATTAATGCTACCTATTTGCTGCTTCCTAAGAAGTAAAGAGACGTCTAGACACTAACTCAAGAGGCTGGGCATATTTCCAACAAAGAAAGGAGAAAAATGCCTGAAAAACCAGAGGGAATGTAAAGGTAAGTTAAGGCAGTTTGTTTGTGACGGCTAGAAGTGCCAACAGTTCACACCATGAAGAGGGAGGAGGAGAGTCAGAGGAAGTGAGGACTCTGTGGGATGAGAAACAGATGGGATATAAAAAACCATGACTGCAGTGCAAACAAAGGGGTGCTCAAGTGCCACTGAGTTTTGGGCACTGAACACCTTTGAGAAGCCCCTCCCACCTCTGATGATACATGTTCTTTCCCCCATTCCTGGTCAGGAAAGAACTTAAGTATTTTCATTCATTTGTTCCAAAATTTACTTTATTTCTAACTTTTTTTTAAAAGATGCAGCCAACAATATTGCATTCCAGAAACATTGTTATATTCCTCGTCCATACAGCTGTGTGATGATGAGGAATTGCAGAGAGACACAGGAGACTGGGAGAAGGCATGGTGGTTAGTAGCAGGTGCTGGCAGTATCAGACATCACCAGAGACACATTGACATGGGTTGGTTTACCCGTGGACTTGTCGATGGTCTTCTGAGCCACTTGCACGGGCAATTTCTCGTGTCCCACTACACATGTGTAGGTGTGGCCAGCATTCCAGTCCTGCTCGCTGATGGTCAGGGTGCTGTAGACAAAGAAGAGCTGTGGCTGCTGGGATTCAAGGGTAGGCTTGCCAGTGGTAACTGGAAGCCCTCATTGGCTCGCCGTTCTGCAGCCACTGGACAAAGAAGTCAGGTGGGTTGAAGTCCTTCACCAAACAAGTGACTGTGGCAGATTCATGGAGGGCCAGTTGCTCAGAGGGAGGTGGCAATACGTAGATGGATGGAGCATGGCTGTTGGCAGCTGTAGAGAGAAGGGAAAGATGGAGAGGATAATGAATAAATCACCTTGCTGGTCACAAGGGAGTTCTGATTCTATTGGCTCAAGCTCAGATCTGCTCCGGTTCCTACATGGATTTTGTTTAGGCATTACTTCTAATGAGAGGATGAGTGATGATCATACTCAAGAGGAAATGAGCATTTTTATAGCTTTCATAGCCTACCACTATTAGTCATTCTGGAAGAGGCCATCTCATCAGGCCAGGGGGAGCTCACTTTGTTCACCAGCTACAGAGATTAATTGATCTTGGAACCAGAGTGGGATCATCTTCTCTGAGGTCCAGCATAACCCACACGTAGCATAGGTACATTAGTGAAATTGTGTGAAGTGACTGGTGGAAGGTCTTGTGAAGAGGTAGAATATTGGGAAGCAGAGCCATGAGATCAGCTTAGTAACCCTAGCTTAATACGAGAAAAGATAGATCATCTCTCTCCTTCCCTGGCAGGAGATTCATCACATTTGGACACCAGTCAAAGACCACCTAGATAGCCACTTCATGGGTCCATGCACAAAAATTGGGGCCAGTAAGGATTATTACAGTCTAATCTAGAGCTTATTTCAGGGGACTTCTAGCCTGGAGACTGTGTGAATGGTCTTAGGGTTGATTAACTTAGAAGTATGCCACTAGCTGTTTAACTTGGTCAAGAAGCTGAGTATGGAGCAGAGCCAAGCCTACGCAAAAGAGGTGTCACTCACCAGGTTGCTTCTGCAGGCGCTTTTCAATGGGGAAGACGAGTTCTGGGTGGGTCACTATGCAGATGTAGATGTCTTCTTTGTCCCACTCATCTGCACACACTGTGGTCGTGGCAAGCACACTGTACAGGCCATTGGGTTGCACCACGCGCTGCCCAGTGACCGTTTCCAGCACTTTCCCATTCTGTGTCATCCATGTCACATTTAACCCATCTGCAGTGGGCATGTTAATGACCTGGCAGGTCAGCTTGGCTGATTTGGTGAGATAGATGTCAGCAAAGGCAGGCGGGATTGTCTGCACATCAATACCAATGGACCCTTCTGTACCAACTGGAAGGGAAAAATTAGATGAATAAGATTTTCTTTGCTCATTTCCTAGCAGGATTTGCAAGTTTCTAGATGACTGTATTCTAATCATTAAGTGATGAGTACCCAGAACAGTCTCATTTTGAGCAAAGAGTTATGTTAAAATGAGCTATTCTTCATTTTTTTGGTCCTAAAACCTGTACTACAACTTGGTTCTGAGACTGTTCTGAAATGGGTCATGCCTCAAACTAAAGAGGCATATCTCAGCCCTAAGGGACAGATCTACTTTATATTTTTTGAGGTTTCACTCCATGACAATACCCTTCTTATCCCATTCCCAGTTCACTCACTGCTAAAATAGATGTGGGTTTCTGCCATGTGCTGAAGGTTGGCTCTGTGGGGCATAAGCTTGCTACACAAACAGGTCATGGCTATTTTACAGGGGCATGAAACAGTTGAGGAGTTTAACTTACAGCCGCACTCAAATGACTTGCTTGTGTTCCTCATCTCACTGATGTTCTTGCCGTCCACCTTGCAAGTGAAAACACTGTCAGCATTCCACTCTCCTTCGGTGACTGTCAGCTTACTGTTGAGTGTTTTGCTGATGGGGCCCACAGTGGTGAATCCAGACTTCACCAAAACCCCATTCTTCAGCCATTTCAGGGTGACATCTGTGGTACGAAGCCCCTCGACTCGGCAGAGGATGGTTGAATTTCTGAAGGGGGTTTCAAAGTCTTCTTTGGATGGGGGGTTGATAGACACAGTAGGGGGCTCAATAGCTAACATGCAAGAAAGAAAAATCAAAGGTCAGCAAATGAATACAGCACTTGGAATGCAGAATGTATGTATGTAGTCGATACTCTGTGCATGGGGTTTATATATATTCCTTGGCACCCAATGGGCTCTCTTTCTGTCGGTCATGGAACAGCTTTCTACCCCAAACCACATTCCAGCAGAGCACAGGGCTGAGTCTGGAAAGGGCATCTCCTCCATGTAAGCACTGCCTGCAATCATACGTTCTATCCCATATCCCCTCCCCACCCCAAAGCCTGGTAGCTTTCCCCTGACTGGCTATTCTAAGTCTGCCATATTAAAGTCTAGAATGGAGAAGAGAACCCAGAAATGTCCTGACTTTCACCACCCCAACCTACCTGACACACATACCTTCTAGAGGTGGGGCTAGAACCCAGGAGTCCTGGTACACCTAGGTCCCCTACTCTAGCCCACTTGACCTTACATCCTCCTAGAGCTAGGGGGATAGGACCCTGGAGTCTAGGCCCCTCAGGTATGGAACTTGAGTGCCTATGGATTTATAAGAGGTATCTCCCTATAGCAGGTAGAACTGAATGCCCTGGTGTAAGTTAATGTGCCTGTTGTCTGGAAGAACAGGTTTAAGTACTTACGGCCAGATGTCCAATCTACAGACACCTTCTGGTCTCCATTTGGGTGCTTGGCCAAGCAGATGTAGGGTTTCTCTTCTGACCAGTCATTGGCTGAGACTGATAGCTGAGTGGTAGCAGAGTAGGTCCCAACACTGCTTATGACAGGGGGGAATTTCTTGACGCCATTGGTGACATTGACGTCCTTATTATTGAGCCAGGAGAAAGTGATCGACGCGGGAAGAAAATCCTTGGCCAAGCAGCCCACAGTGATGGACTCTTGAGGTGTATCAGTCCCACAAGATGGGATGAGTGGGAAGAGAGTCGGGGCTTTTGGAGTCTCTGAAGAGCAGAAAAATAAAAGGGGAGGGAATGTGGAGGAGTGGGACAAGAAAAAATGTTAAAACAAATACCATCATGGTGACTGGTGGGAAGCTGTTGTATTTAAACACCTGCCACTTGGTTAGGAGGAATAGAAATGCCAGTGTTGCCCCATGTTCTGTGAGTCGCATCATCCTGGGGCAAATAACACACAGAGCAAAGAAGACCAGAGAGAATTCCTTTTGGCAAAGCTCCTATTCAGAAGGTCTTGCTCTCTGTGGTAGGCACGTTGAACCACCTGGTCCTCATAAATATATAGAACCAGTGTCCTTTGTTTATTGATATCCTATTCCTACCCCATTATATATATGGACCAGGTATCATGGTTGCTTAAATATTTAATCTTTCCAAAGAGCAGAAATCCCTAAGCATTAACCATACTCCAGTTGAAAAGCCAAGCATTCACCCCAAAGCTTCTTGGTGACCCCACCAGAAGAACAGGCACAGGGATCCATCCTCTCTGCCTCAGGGTCAGGGCAACAGGCCAGCTGGGTCTGAATCAAGGTATTAAACATACTCCTTGCCCCTCTCTAGTGCTCAATCACATGCTTTTATTTGCCCATCAGACAGCAACTGTAACTGATGAAGCCAGCCTAAGTACAATGAGATAAAAAAACCCAAAATAATCCCTGGGGTTTTGCAATCTTGCCTTTTCTTCCCACATGGGATGGAGCCACCAAGAACTGGTACCACAGGAGTCCAGCCATGGGATGGTAGAGAAAACAGACCCAGCTGAAAGGAAACCAACACCATGGGGCACCCACCCAGAGCCCTTTCACTCACCCCAGAGCACGACCCAATCAGGAAGGAATTGGCACCAGGGCCCCCTCCTCCCTGACCCAACCCTGCACCAATTCACAATGAGCTAGGGCGGAAGCCATACTAATGGGAACCAGAACTCCATTCCCAGCTGGGGTGCTTCTCCAGAATCAGCTAAGGGCACAGCCAGGCAGACTGGACCTCTGGCTGTGCACCCGTCCCAGAACTGGGAGCTGGTTCAGAACCACCATGTGACATGCAGAGTGCTGGCTCCTCTCTGCAGCTGGATGCTAACAGTAGAGCAGTGAGCACAGGTCAAGCAGAACTGGAACCCCATAGTCAACTTGAAGCTAGTAACACATGGACACAAACACCCTTCCCTTTGTCCTCTGCAGCCTAGTTCTGACACCAGGTGGGGGGTGGGGGGAGGGGATCCAGGACCCTACCCGTAGCTTGGTATTAGATCTGGTACCATGGCAGATCCAAACCTGCCACACCCTAGTTCCAGCCACCACCACCCCCAGCCACCACCACCACTGGCTTGGGGAGTGGTGGTGGTGGCTGGGACTAGGAGTGAATGCCGTAGACGACTCTAAACCAGCTGGGATCAAACTGGAGAACTCAGAGCTGGCACTAGAGGGAGCTGGTACTGCACAGCGTAGGACCCGTTTTCCTTATACTGTATAGACCTGGCTGGGAGGCATAGCTCGGTGCTATAGCTCCACAGAGGAATCTACCAGGCAGGAGCCAATACATACCTGTGTCCTGACTACCTGCAGCAGATTTGGAACCAGCTGGGCTTGGATGACCCTTGAGCTGTTCAGAACCATCTATCAGTCTTCCAGAGCTTGGGAAATGAACTGATCATGCCCAGCTTCAGTGAGAGGGAACTAGTACTGCTGGGGACCAGGGCCATCTCTTCAGCCTGGTGCCAGCTCAGATTGAGTCACTACAGCCCAGCGCTAATACAGAACCAGCCCAGCTGGTACTTTGGAGACAATTACCTGCTACCCAGGGATGCTACAGAGCCAGTTAGCAAGGAACCCAGTACTGGTACCACAGGGGACCCAGACCCACCATGCTGATACAGAACCAGCTACTGGGAAGCTGGTTTTGGAATGACTCTGATCCCTTGCAGCCGCGGGCTAGCATAGAACTAGAGAGGGGCAACTGGGCCAGCTTGGTTGCTACGGAGGGACCTGGACCTACCCACAGACCAGTGCTGCAACAGAACCAGGTAGGGGGGAAGCCGGTACTGGTAGCTGGGGGAAGGACTGGTGCTATAAGGGGTCAGGGTCCATGCAGCCCAATGCTGGCACAGAGCTAGTAAGAGGTAGTGGGACTTGGGACCAAAAACTGGGACTAAAGGCAGCTCAGTGCTCCTATGGAACCAGC